TCTTCCAAGAAAATGTTTTTTCTTACATGGATATTACATTCAGTCACAAGGTCGCTATGCAATTATTATTCCTAAAATAATAGAAAGATGATGTGAATATCAACAAGCACAACTTACTTGATTAGGTAGAGAGGAATGAAGCTTGTGCAAGTCACACGCAACATCCTTCTTCCATGCTTCCGCGTCTCCACAATCACAATATCCTCCACCATTAGAACTGGTCATCTATGAATTAAATACAAATCAGATGTTCACTCCTAAATTCAATATTGTCTATCATTTAGCCAACTACTGTACTGCATATGCCTGGGAAGGAGTCAACAAATCCCATATGAAACAAAATTCTGTTCAGTGTGCCAGTGAATATCAGACATTAAAAAATATTATTAAATTAAAATTTAAAAAATATTATTAAATTAAAATGTCCACAAATGGCACCTAGTTTCCCAAATAAATAAGGACAATTACAGTTAGCTAAAAAAGTTTCCATTGTTTTGTTTTATTAGATGCATTTTTTTAATAATAACTACTACTACTGCATAGGCCAGCAGTCCACAAATACTGGCCCATGGATCACAAGTTTCTGTTCAGTGTACCAATATATATCAGCCAAAAAAACAATATTATTTAATAAAAATGCCCCTAGTTTCCTAAATAAATATGGACAATTATACAGTCGAGTCCGCCAAAGTCGACTCTGTTTAAGTCGAAAATTCGCGTCAGTCGAATTTTTGAAAAAGTCCCAATTCTTTCCTATGTATTACTGTGTAAATTGTTTGTTTAATTCGAATTTTTATAAGTCGAATTTCGGCTATATCGACGGAATTTTCTGGTCCGGATAGGCCGATTTTAAAGTAATTTCAACCACACGAGTCGAAGTTCCAAATTTAGTAGCGCACGTGGGAAAAATACACAGCCGTGGGAAAATACGAAGTTCAATCCTTGTTGTACGGCAACAAGTTAGCCATGTCAAACCAACATCTCAGACAGCGCGCTGTGGAACTTGGCTCACATGATCGTATGTCGTAAGTTGCAGTCTACTCGCACAATACAGACACCCCTCCGGACCTGCTCCAATGTTCAGTTTTTCGTCCAGTTTAGTTTGTTTGAACCCATTTCGAACAAGATTGTTGTATTCAGGGCCTAGCTATTTAATTAATTTATCAAAGCCCTGGACTCCTTTGACTGCCTAGTCTACGCAAATTCAACCATTATTTAAACAGTACATGTTGTTTTGCTGTACTGCTCAGCAAATTTAATTATTACCAATAAAACTGATGCTACTTTTATATTGTTTTTGCGTGCATTTCTTTAGGTCTGATTATGTTTTTCCAAGCACACATTCTTCGTTGATCAATGCCACTTGCTGGTCGGCAGTCTAGTTGTAAACAGAACAGGTCGCGCCCCCAAAAACTCTGCCTGCCCGCCAATTGGTCCATTTTTGTGGGTGTTTTGCAGACTAGACATGTGCTTCGGCTGTGATGACGTCAGATCGCCCAAAGTTTCACATGACAGTAACAAGCTCGGTGTAATCAAGAATGTTTTAATTAAACAAATTTATAAAACAAAACAAAAAACAAATAAGAAACCCTCATGGTATATTTTAGAGTCAAAACTAAATAAACCTAACAAATTATATTTTATTCTCCACAAATTTCCTCCGTAATTACATTAGCAACATGTTTTGAAAAGCATCTTGAGTTTAAAGAATGAATGAGGTGCATTTGAAATTTACACCGACGAATCTAACGAACTTGAATTAGACGTCTACTGAAAAGAGTAACCAGTAGAAACTTGCTTTGTTGAGTTCCGTCTTTATTGCAGGTTGATTCCAAATGGTTTTTAAGGATTAAAAGCAGGAATATACACTTATTAAAACATTGGAATGCGTAAATTTCACTTCATAATTAACCAAGAAAACGTCTACTGGTGTGTCGCGTTAATCAACAGATAATCTCCATGGTACAGTAATGTGAGTATAGCTAAGCGTCTCGTTTTCACAGCGTCTGGTATGCTTGTAGTTAAACGATGTCTATTAAACTATCGTCTGGTTTTTTTCGAGTGAGTGTTACCGTCCTGAATTGGACAAATCGTCCGAGATTTGGAATAGGGAGTTCATGTTTTCGGAAAGTATTTTATTAAAAGAAGAATAGGAATGAGTTTGGGACTTAAGAAAATGTTCGGTTTTGCGTGAAATTCGATTTTGTGGGCATTGAGTACACATAGTATTGTTCTATGTTAATATTTTTTTTTCGAAAATGTGCAAGTCGAAATCTGTATAACTTGAACTTTTTATGCCAGTCCCATTAGATTCGACTTAGGCGAACTCGACTGTAGTTAGCTAAAAAATTTCTATTTACTAGTTTTGCTAGGTGCATTATTTAATCTTTATTATTGTCAATTTTATCATTTATTATCACATTTTGTTATCATTCTTTGTAGTTTATTGTGTAAATGGTTCCTAGCTGTTGAATGTCTATTTCACTATAACAAACACTGAAGTAAAATTGAAATTAAAGTTGGAAGTAACAAACCCGATATCTGTGATTCTTGTGTCTACTATTTTGAAAGCATGTCACACACAAACAGCATGTTGGATCCATTGCACATTCCCTAAATATAAACAATACAAATTCATGTCTAAATTTACCTCTAACCTTGTCTCTCAATCTTAGATTGAGTGTCTCCATTCCACATTCAATAAAATACAATACAAATGCATGTTCAGATTAAGTTTCAATCCAATATTAGATTGGGACTCAACCAGATCTTCACCTAAACAAACCAACTGAAGGTATTGAAATGATTTGGGATACATTTACTGCGCATTTGTCTTGTATATAACTGCCAACACAATAATAAACAAATAATTTAAACAAAAATAATGGCCTACACAATCACAATAATAAACAAGCTATCTAATTTTTAAACTATTTTTTGTCTTTCAAACTGTATTGTACATCTTTATATTTTAACCAATTTTGATAGTTTTAATAATCTATAGATTAAAAGCAACAAATTTCTGTAAAAGGATGCAATAAATAAAGCGAGTCTGAGAAATAATGTAAACAGAAATAATGGCCTACACAATAACAATAATAAACAAATAATGTAAACAGAAATAATAGCCTACACAATAACAATAATAAACAAATAATGTAAACAGAAATAATGGCCTACACAATAACAACAATAAACAAGTAATATAAACAGAAATAATAGCCTATATAATAACAATAATAAACAAATAATGTAAACAGAAATAATGGCCTACACAATAACAACGATAAACAAATAATGTAAACAGACAGTACAAAGTACAGGTTAAGGTTTTCAAATAAACGTTTAAAGGTAAAATCTATTAAGAATAAAAGCAAAATATTTGTTTTGGATACTATACAAAATAAAATTTACAATTACAAGTAAAATTATAGTTACAGTAGTACAAAAATTTATTAGTTTTTCCATTGTATTTTGTGTTTTTTGGATATAAAATAATAATAATAATAATAATAATAATAATAATAATAACAATAATAATAATAATAACAATAATAATAATAATAATAATAATAATAACAATAATAATAATAATAATAATAACAATAATAATAATAATAATAATAATAATAATAATAATAATAATAATAATAATAATAATAATAATAACAATAATAATAATAATAATAATACACATTTATAAAGCACCTATTAAAGCAAAAAAACTGGCTTGTTACCAGTGCTGGGAGATGCTAGAAAGAAGTTGCTTTACATAATCTATAAAGTAAACAATAAATGCTACATTAATTACCTGCAAGAGTATATAGACTCCCCACTTTTGAACACCTTTCCACACATTTGTGGTGGATTACTCTTCTGTTTCAGTTGTTGGAACATTTGACTAGGCTCTCCGTTACAGATGAACCATTCAAGAGGTTGCAGAAGGTTTTTTTTGAGATTTTCATTCTCTTGTTTGTTATCCAACTCTCCAGACTTGAAGATTTCTGGTACCTTCACCCGCCAGTAGTTCAGCAGTGTATCATGAAATACTGCCTCACTTGTTATCCTCTGCCATTGCTGGGTTAATAACAATTAAAATATAATGGTCATTTACTACAAAAAATTTACCGGTCATTTTCGCATAACATAATAATTATATGTGTATCATAAAAAACAATACAACATCTGAAACAGGAATAAGTGGTAGGAATAAGTGGTAGGAATAAAAGAAGAGATTTAATTTGAAAAAAAAAAGAGAAGAAACCATGAAATCCTTTAAAGAGAATACAAAATTAAAATACATTGAAAACTCAAATTTGCATGGAAATTGGTAAAGGTGCACAGAATTGTAACCAAGGCCTACCGTGTAATTAGCACACAGGGGTGAGCTAGGGCTAAACATGGTTTAGCCCCTTTAAGCCACCCCCTCAAAAAAATATTTATCAACATGTATATTTTTATGATTGTTTTTATTACACAGCAGTAGTCTTGTAAGTTGGCCTAAATTTAAACTTTCAGATCTATGAAATTATAATTAGTTCATCCCCTTCCCCCAAATGGAAAATCCAGGATCCACCCCCAGGTAAAATAGACAATTGTGAATATATCTTGGTATCCTTTATTAAACACAAATGTCATTGCAATTAACAAAAATCACTATTGTCAATACACTGTTTGTTGCTACAGTATTTAAGCCATACTTAGATGCAGACGATAGCTCAAAAAACAGCTCAAATTTGTGCGGAAATCGCTAGCTAGAATGGTCTGCAGAATCGTAATTACTGCATAATAATATTGTTTATATATTAAGATTAGGTGATAGACTAATTTTTGGCAAAATCTGCAAGGAAATCAGCCTCTATTTTCCGTAGAATGTGCAGACAAATTTATATACACTTGTAGGTCAAATTTTTGCTCAGATATAATATACGCAGTGATTATTTTTACGATGAAAATAGTTCCCAATGCTATTCTTATGACGATCGCTAGCGCATGCGCGATAGCGTCCCTCATCGCGGGGGAAAATAAACAAGTCTTGAACTGAGCAAACCGCGAAGCTAAATCTAGCCTAGGCCCAGAGAAAGGCCACACAGGCTTGGTAGATACCAGCCTATGCAGCGGGGTAGCAGGAGTGAACTACATGTACGCAGCTAGGAATAATACTGTAGGCCTACACATCCATACTTTCATAACAGCTTCCTGGGGTTGGTGGCAGTATATATATAAAAAATGAATTTCAATTTTGTAAAACACAAAAATAAGGCCTAAACATGAAAATTAATGTGAGCCTACGGCCTATTTATATAAGCCAAACGGTTAAGCCTACAAAATTGTTTTCATGTTCAATTTTGTGATTCCCACTCGATGGCCGGTATTCCTGATTTATTACCAATTATTTTTATTTGATAATATTTATTAATTGTTTAATAAGTTTATTAATAATTATTATTTTTCTATTTTTACAGAAACAACGCAAATGCAAGTCGATTGGTTTGAGACACATATTGTCATTGTTGTGTTTCCTGATTATTTGACCATGTTTAAAATGCTTAATAAAATGAAGATTTATGAAATTAGCATGTCATTTGTTTTGCATATGATTGTTTTCTTCTTTGCTGCCTTTCCATATCACGTTTATAATATTAATAGGCCCATGTATAAATAAAAATAAAATATACTGTGATTTGATGAAGTAGGGCGGCGCCATGAATACCCGACGAGAGGTCTAAGCTCCCCGATAAAATCTGTAGGAGAATTTTTTTTAATTCAAAAATAACATTTTGTGTTAATTATGGGATTTTTTATCCTGTCAAAAGTACCATCCCCCAGTCGGGGAAGAGCTGGCACCACTGCAACCCATACGATCGTAACAGTACCGTATACAATACCACGCACATCGTAGCACTGCACTACAGTTTTTAATCCCTACAATTTGACAGCTTAGCAAGGCATGCTTAAATTGTAATTTCGGCGCTTGAGATTTCATTTTTTCCCCCAACGAACCTGCTGGAAATTCCCCGGCAGGGGTCCAAATGTCCCCGACAGAGTCCTTTGCCCCGCAGCGCCATGGTACTCTTTAGGTAAAACTCAAACAAGTTTTGTACTTCCTTTATCTTTTATTTCCATTTTGGGATACATAGGTAGGCTGATTAGGCCTACTACTTAAAAAACACCAATAAATACACACATGTTTATTAAACTCTAAATTTACTCTGATGAGGCCTATTACAGTACCTGTACTAGTTGCTTGGACCATTTACTATAAAAATACTGTATCAGAAAGAATCGTTATGTTCCTACAAACAAATTTCCACGATACACTTGAGGGTGAAGCAGACACATTTTTGCACGCCAGCTTCAGGAAAGTGGGTGCACTTCCATAGGGTAGATGCTAAACATAGACGACTGGCTATTTTTAGGTGCAACGCATGTAATGGTAGTGAACATGTCGTAGTGTGCGTTTACCTAATAAATATTAATTATTGTGAAAATATTGAATCCCAACACTTCAATACCGTACTTGTGTATGTATTATACTTTCTTATTGCATATATTTTACAAAAATCAGATAGCCTATAAATGCATATTTGATTGAACAAATTAATTCAATATTGTAACAAACACATTGGCCTTTATTATGAAGCATTCATATATTGAAAAGTTACTACTGTATAAAAAAAATGTACTGTATACGTCCGATCGCACTTCACTTCTGGGACTGCAAGAAAAGAACATAGTTTTCAATACAGAACACACAATACTATTTATTTATTTCTTGCTTAACCTGGTTTAACAAAATCTGTTAAAACTAACTGTTATCCTTATGACCAGGATAGATACAGTTACTGTTACGTACTAAAATGAAAACATATGATCAGAACATAATGGTAATGGAAACGCAACAAACAAGAAAACAAACATATGACAAACAATAACTATCACTGATCTAAAAAAAATCGACTTACATTTGCATTGTTTCTGTAAAAGAGAAAAATAACACCAATTAATAAACTGTAATATCAGTAATCAAATAAAAATAATTGGTAATAAATTTCCAGGAATACCCGCCATCGAGGGGATTCGCATTCACAAAATTAAACATCGAACAATCTTGTAGGCTTTTTGGCTGTTAGGCCTATATATAGTTTGGGGGAGGCCCTAGGCTAAACATTAATTAATTTTTCATGTTTAATTTTTGTGTTTTACAAAATTGAAAAATTCATGTCTTATTCTACCACCACGGACCAGGGAGCATACAAGTACGAAGGCCTACAATGTAGTCCACGCTATTCCTAGCTGCGTACATGTAGTTCACTCCTAGCGTTTCCGCTGCATAGGCTGGCATCTACCAAGCCTGTGTGGCCTTTCTCTGGTCCTAGAGATAGGCCTAGGCTAGAATTAGCGTCGCGGTTCACTCAGTTCAAGACTTGTTTATTTTCCCCGCGACGAGGGTCACTTTCGCGCATGCGCTAGCGATCGTCATAAGAATAGCATTGGGAAATATTTTCACGACTCGTCGTAAAAATAATCACTGCGTATAATATAATATTCCTTGTGAAGGCCATACACAGTCTGTAAGAGTTTGTTGTTATGGGCATTCCTGTACACAATCTTTCGCTTTTCTTGGAAATAAATTCTTCATTTTACTGTTCTTTTTTTTCTACATAGGCCTAGGTTCTAGCCTACATCATCATTGTATTTTATTACTAGGCCTAGCCGTCTGCTGAACTGAAGAAAATAAATGTTATTCTTACTATTAAAACAATGAAAGACAGTGCAGTGAGCAGTGGTGTATTGAGAAACATTCGTATTCCTAAGGACTCAGGCAATTTGTTTGATTTGCTGGGTCTAAGCTTGGGCATGAGCTAGCCTTAGAACCCCCTTAGACTAATCATCATTCCTAGAAAATATCTAGCCTGTCTAGCCCAGGCTGACCTACTGGACAAAGCTGCCAGACCCCTACAAAAGTCAAACGCCTATAACATCTGTTGAAGAAGATAAAACGAGGTAGGCCTAGGCCTAGTCTACTTACATTTGCCAACGACGCACAGTCAATGGACTCCATTAGGAATTTCAATACACAAATAGAGAGATTAGAGATGTATGTTGCTACTCTTCTATTACTATAGGTTCAATAATAAAATATCTCAATATTGCTGTCATCATGTTCCTCATGAGCTTTATTCATCAGTGTCTGAAGGCATTACCAACGCATGCGCAATCTCGCTTCCCTGAACCTACTATCTTCCGGACCGCAACCAATACTTGTACATTTATATGCAGTTGTACTGCGAAGTACAACTGCATATAAATGTTCTTCGAACAAAATTATTTATGCGAGTCAAGTGAAAATAATGAATAATAAAAATATAACAAATAATATGAGACACGTCCCATTGTCTATATTAGAACTTACTTCTCATTGGGTAACAAAGTCGTAATTTTTCATTTTTGTCAAAAAGTGTCTATACAGTGTAGTGGTGAATTATGGTTTAGGTTTTTTTAAATAAAGTTTCAAAAATTTCTATGTATGTGGAAAATGCAGTTGATTACCAAAAGTTACAATTTTTATTTTGAAGACTGCATGGTCTAGGAAGTGTACATTTTTTTATGGGGCAAGTTTCCAAGGGCGGATTTTCTAGGGGCGAGTTGACTGCCAAAGAGTGTTGCCAAAGCGTGAGCTAGCGTGTTCAGTCGTCTTAGGCCCTTGTTTTTTGACAAACAATGACCTTCAGAGGTCAAATTGCTGTCAAGAATATGAATTGGCTGCTACACAGCAATTAGAAAGGAAAACGCTTACACTGCATTTGCATGGTATTGTCATTTAATCAATGACGAAAAGTAAAGTTTAGAAATACAGTACAACAAATAGGTCAGCACTCGACTACAATCAACTAAAATTCTGACCCTACAGGACAGCAAATTATGCAATTGTATTTCGAACAGCTCAACTAAAAAAGGGTTATCTAAAAAGCCGCATAGGCTATACTTGGAGTTGCATTGGAATAAAACTATACATAAGCATCCAAACTTAATAACGAATGCAGATGTATTTCATAACATCAAATAATTACACAGTATATATGACAATATAATATGTGAAGAATGGGTGCCAAAAAGGTCAGCCATCGACGATGGGCCAAACACCAAGAAAAGGAGTTACAGAAACTGTAAATCTCCATGTATTTGTTCTGTATGTAGTATTTTTTACTTATTTATTTAAATTTGTCTGTACCTGTATGTTATCCGCCCGTGTCGTGTTCCATGCCTGGCGATCCTTTATTTTTTATTTTTCTAATGAAAGACCCTCTAACCCCACACACAGTGAATCCCACAACCGATAATCCAACCTTCGCTCACTAAACACGTCACCCCGCGACGTGAAAAAGCTTCAGAGCGAAATAAGTTCAGTGAGGCGGGATTGCGCATGCGCTAGTAATGCCTTCAGACACTGAATTAATAATTCATGATTTTTTTGCTCAACCTACCTACGATTAAAAAAACTTCGCGTCCCGAACTTCTTTAGAATCATCGATGGTGTGACGTAATAAAATATCTATGGGCAGCAAATGGCGCATTCATATTATGTGTAAGGGTTCTGATGGCGGACAATCTCGACTTTCTTGATTTTAAATAATTTTAAATTTCTCTTTTTTTCTGTGCTACTGCCGCGCTGATGCTTATTTTGCTGTCGCTGTTTGCTGGTATCATTTATTGTTATTCTCATGGAGTTTCTGGGAATATCCAAGTGTTTGTTTCTAGTGGCTCCATGAGAGTAACAGCAAGGCAATTTAACAGAAGGACGCACATCTCGGGACATCAAAGGTTATAACTCTGGCATCGACATTCCAGGCGCACATGTGTCTCTACACGCTGAAAGTCACAAAACCATAGCAACCAGACCATAAACCGTCCGAAACCGTCAGAGTACGTGACGAATTACTCACGCGCGTGTTCGTTGCCATGATAATCTCGCGTCGTGCAGTGATTACAAAGGCCTAATGATATTTTGCACTAACATAGACTGAAATTATATTCTTCATTTCAACATTAATTTTACCAAAATTGTGGTGAATTGTCGTTCATGAGACTCACTTCGCAGAAAAAAATAATAAATGTTCTGTATATACTCAAATGTTCGTTTTCGGCCCCTTATGCCAACATTGTCAAAATTACAGATTAATGTTACTTACATAAGAACATGAAATTTTATAAAATTCGTAAATTTTAAATTGCTATAACTTTTCGTTTTCTTGGTCAATTTTCACAAATCAAATTGTTTATAGAAGCAATTAACAAGCTCGCGGTAAAAAAAAATCAGATGTAACAGACATTGCGAAGTACCCAAAATTAATAAAATAAAAGCAAACACCATAAAACGAATGGCACACATAGACTAATAATTGACGGCTGTACTCGCAACTAGTATCGGATTGTCGATGCCACAGTAAAGATCAAAGGACTGTCTGTTGAATTACCTTGGTAACAGTATATTGTTTCTTGCGTGCTGTGTTGTTTCTGCGTTGTGCCTTGCCGTTTTTAATCGCTTTTACTTCCAGAGAAAAGAGATTTATTTATATATTTTATGTATCCTTAAATCAGTGGAGAAACTTTATACAGCAATTTAGTTTGCTTTTTGTTTATCCTGTCTCTGATTTTTGGTATTGTTATTTCTGTATGTTTTGTTTTCTCTTTGACGAAATAAATGAAATGAATGACATGAAATGAAATGTTCATAAAGAAATTAAAACAAACAAGAGAAGTTTTCACACTAGCAAGATTCGATAACGATTTATCATATAGACCTAGGTCCTATACGATATTAAAAAAATAATTTCACAAAAATCAAATCAAATGACGTCATAATCATGGGAAAACGATTAAATCGTTTCTATTACAAAGTGTATTGTGTAAATTACATAAATTACCAATAATAGTAATAATAATATAATAATAATAATAGTGTAGTTTTATATAGCGCACATATCCATCTAATGTAAGATGCTCCGGGCGCTTGATAGGGCTATGTGGACTAGGAACTCGATCAATAACTTTCTTCGCCCCTAAGGGTCCCTTCGTGTCTGTGCTACACGGTAACCCGGTACCAGCAACTCTCGTCGTCCACCACAGGGGCTGTCTGTTCCAGTACACCGGGGTATCCCCCTACTCGTCTCGAAGGATGTACTGGGTTCTTTATAGTGCACACGAGCCATTGTACACACTGGGCCTTCGGTTTATAGTCCTTATCCGAGAAGACTTGCTCTACCTCCAGAACCATGCGGCGTGCCATTCGAACCAGCGCCGTTATTATGGCTATAGCTTGCGGCGCCCCTGCTAACCGCTCGGCCATTCGACTCACCAATAGGCCTAAACAATGAAAAACTACAGTTTACAAAACTCATACAAAAATTCTATAATTTCAACATTCAATTTTATTCTGTCTTCTCCTCATCATCTTCATCTTCCTCCTCGTCAACACCCACATCAGTCAGCATCCTTATCATGATGAGGATTATAATGATGACGACGACGAGTATAATGATAATGACGATGAAGATGATGTTGATGACATCACGAAGGTGATGATTATGAGAATGAAGATGATGATATATAACAATCAGTATAGTAGTAATATAAAAATAAGTAAAAATAACAGTACTAACACTTATATACTAATTTACTAATTTATATACAACATATTAATTTTGCCTAAG